GATGAACAGTTTCAAAAAACAGAAACGGTTAGGCAATATGAAACGTCCAAAGATACCAATGAAAAAGCGCAGAACGTAGGGCAGTACGATGGCGTCAAGGTTCATTGCTCTAGAGAGCAGTATGATGATGATGATGCCAAGCCTCGGTGGCCCACAGAGGAATACGCATACAAAAAGGATCATCATATGTACGAAAGCATCGGTGACAATTCAAGCGATGACGGTTACGACGATATTGACGATGACGGGTACGAAGACATTGATGATGACGAGACGTCACATGATTACGTGGATATGACATCACATGATTACGTGGATATGACATTACATAATTTCGTGGCTATGACGTCACAGGGTCACGTGAGTATGACATCAGAGGAAGATCAGTACTACACAATGAGTCGTAACGAAAACACTAGTACAAGTCCGAGATTGGAACGTAAAGGTGAAAACCTGACTGAAACGACCAAGCTGGAACCCGCCAGGAAATGTTTGGTCAAGCTTCCTTTCCCAGCAGATGCGTCTACTCCAAGACCTGACAATAAAACCTCCACTGGAACTACGAGATTGGAAACTAAACTAAGTCCGAGTTTGGAACGTAAAGGTGAAAACCTGACTGAAACGACCAAGCTGGAACCAGCTAGGAAAAGTTTGCTCAAATTTCCTTTCCCGGCAGCAGATCCGGACAATAAAAACTCCGCTGAAATTACGAGGTCGGAACTAAATAGTGAAGCCTCGGATAAATCTATCAAGCTAGAAGTTGATAATAAAACCTCGCAAAACGTTTCTAGTCCAACAGATCTGTCTGCTCAGAATTCGAAACTTGGTAGCGACAACTCTGCCGAAAATATTACGCTGGAACCCGTCAGTAAAAGACCTGCTTTTCCTATTCCTAAAGACCAGTGTAATCTTCCTATCCGTGAGGCGCTGTCTGCTATTCCTATCCCAACAGAACTGTCTTCCCTAACTGTCGAAGGAGTTGGGCGACTCTTGACAAGTCTCAACATGGCATGCTATGCAGACAACTTTCAAGAAGAACAGATAGACGGCGAGATGTTGATGGAATTAGATGAATCAGCTTTGAAATCTTTAGATTTAAAGCCGTTCCATGTGAGAAAATTGATAAAAGTTATCGCAGGTTGGCGACCAAGTGTTGACGGCAACAAGGATTAACTCTGGTTTGCTGATTTAAGCAAACTTTCGGTTAGCAGGGTTCTGCTCTGCTAGTAGACGAAAGTTTCTTGAACTCGTACTGAATTAGCCTTTCTCACGATGACGAAATCCGCCATTTTTGGGTGACATTTAATTTTCGTTAACCAATGCAGGCAATTTAAACAATGTGAAAAGCAATTTTTCAAAATAAACTAACCATTTACATAGCAAATTTACCATTATTTGTCCAAACAATTATAAAAAGTCGCTGTTATGTGGACTTATCTGGCAGACTTCGGCTGAAAAGCCACCCAAAAATGGCGGCGTGAAAAAGGCTGATTGATCCAGATCTCCTCAGTCATGTACTAGAGGACATAATTGGCGGCAGAAGATTGGTTTGGTTGGAGTGGGCAACTGAACAAATTGGGGTCGGTGGCATGTTCCCCAGAAAAGTTTATACATCTAGAGGAGTCTCTGAAATGACTTTTCATTTCGTTCTTGGGAATGTCATTTTGTTCATTTGTAGCAGTTCGGGTAGCGAAGAATCCGATCGACACCTTTATATTAAGTTGTCTTACTCCGATATCTTATGAAGAGAGCTTTGCCCCTTTGCTTCTACTTTTGTGCCCCCAGACCCCCCCCCCCCCCCCCCCCCCCCCCCCCCCCCCCC